AGTGCGTTGTTTCTCCGCATGTGTGACAAGCTGAGAATCCACGGATAAACCTTTGCGCCGGCGGACTGCATCTATGTATTTCTTGGCTCTATTTTCGCTGTCTGCTTTGTCACCGAAATGTAAGTATTCCTCATCCGTGGAAGGTGTCCAATATGGATCTTGCTCGATCACCTATTATGCATACGAAATATATTTAGCATATATGGCAATATATACCAGTAAGCAATAACTACAATACGTATTCAAGTTAAATAAGTCACATTTGTATAATATTCATGCACTCTTAATACGATAAAGCACTAAGATAATTTCATCTTTTAATCAGATGTTATAACATGTTATGTATGTATATAACAATCTATCGTACTAAAGATACAGCGAGTATCGTATTACGGTACATTCTGCTGTAAATGCATATATGCATTGTTCTATTGGTAAAACATAAAATTTGCCCGATAGTCACAGCGTGTTAAGTAACGAAATAATGGATCTACGGTAACTTTAAATGTATCATACTATTTGTTGGATAAGTAATCAAATGTGTATTTATTGGAAAACAATAATTTTGATTTGTTCGAGCAATTAATAGTTGGAGTAATTAGTACAGTGATATGCGCAATGGCCGAAGAAGAATGACTAGAACGCTATTTTTCTATCATCGATCGCGAGTATTTGATTATGTACAATAAAGAAAAGACTATAAACAAAAGCGGAAAAATATCGAGATATTGCTCGTGTTCTTATTGTATGGAAAAACTTGCCTCCCAATGACTGAAAACCAGTTGAGGACTGGCCAGCCCGGATGTCTGAGTTCGCAGTTCTGTGGCAAGTTGAAAACTCTCCGGTACAGGTAAAGTCGCAAGTACGCGAAACTGACCACCAAATCCAAGAGCACTTTCCGCTGCAACCACACGACCTTGCCTCTTTCCGAATGCAGCGTACAGTTTCCCTAAAACAAAATTCACCATATTTAATCTTCCTTTATTTTCCTTTCCTCGTTATCTTCTATCGCTCTCTTTGACAAATGACAAAATTCTATAAAGTCAAATATATCAATTTCCGAAAGACGATTACGAATAACTAATGACATAAAAGGAATACGAGAAAACTTTAATTAGTCAAACAGTTGAAAATTACTGCTGGACATCTAAACAGAATCCAAGTACAATATTTACAATTTCGATTAATGATTGACGACTAACGATTAACGATTAACGATTAACAACTAACAGGTATTAGCAGGTAGTGAATATGAAAAACAGTTTAATGTTACTTTTCGTAACAATAATAATACTCGAATACGAAACAATTAATCGTAAGAAGATTTAATGAAGAAATCAGGAAAAATCGTTAAATTTCATCAATTATTAATTTAATTTAATCAATTATTTAGATATCGATAGAAGTCGAACACGGTCTTAAGTTTCTTTGTCTTTTCTTCCTCATTTCTTCTTTCTTTCTTTTTCTCTTAAAAGAGACTGAAACGATACGAGAAGATTGATAAATGAGACAGACTAGCAAATCGGAGAATACTATTCCTTTGCTAGTTAAAGCTATCTGATATTTTGCATCGTTTATCGGTAGACATTCTTTGCTAGAACGGTGAAGATGTAGTTGCACAGGATTTTCAGTCGGAGAGTAAGGAGCACAGTTTCCGGTCGTAGGTTGCGGCACCTGCACTCACCTGCTCTTTTCCGTCCTTTTCTCATCACCGGTACATACAAGAATCTGGCATATCTCCCCTTTTTTTACCTATTTGTGGTAACGTTACGATCTCACTATGTGTACATGCATACACATAAATAATCTATACTCCCCTCTTGCTCTGCTCTTTCTCTCTTCTTCCGCCTTCATCCTCTACCTTTTTACTATGCCACAACTCCGCACCGTTCAGAGTTTCACCACCAACTTTACTTCCAACGCTACAATTCCCCTCTCCGACTTCTGCCTCTATGTTCTACTCTCTCAAACCCCACCTTGTTTTCGAACTCCTCGCCAAATCGTAACCAAGTCTCACTCCCCTCTCTCAATAGCAAGAATTCATTCATGCCACAAACAGTGGTTCTTCGAACGAAGATATTATAAGATAGATATAAGATTCTCGTATATACCATTTCGATTATATAAGTAAAAATTTTTTTATGGTATGATAAATTCTAAAACTATGTAATACTTGTCACAAGCATATCACGAGATGTGCTTAAAAAGTAAGAAGAAATAAGTAAGAAAAATGAAAAAAAAAGGAATCGATAAAAGTAAATTATATATATGGAAGGAATAAGTATTCATTGGTAAAAATTATTTGGTTCCGTTAAACTCAGAATTAACAACAGTTCTGTTAACAATAATTCGAGTGTTAACAACAATATGAATGTATGTTACGCTTGATTTCACTCGCTATAGTTTGGTTTGATCTGATTTCATCCGTTCCATTTCGATTCCATGCAATGCGATGACATAGGATTGGATTGGATTGGATTGGATTGGATTGGATTGGATTGGATTGGATCGAATCGGATCGGATTGGATCGAATCGGATCGGATTGGATCTTATTCCTATTCGTTTTCACAAATACAAGAGAGTAAGAGTAACGCAATGTAAGCGGATAGAGTAACAAGAGGGAGAAGAGTAAATAGCAGTAGAGGAAAAGAAAAAAAATACGAGTGAATGGTTCGCAGCCTGAATCAATGAAACAGCGATCCTCAATCTTACGATCAACCTTTGGAAAATCCTTTACTGGTTAATGTTAAAATTATTTCAATAAATCGATTGATTCGATTTTAGAAAATAAATAAGGGTGATGTGACATTAAGATAGATATATTTAGTTAAAACTTAGCGAGAGAATTTGTTGGACGGTTTTTTGGTGTTTCCTGTGACTTTTAATTAGGTATACTGATTTACTTGTTCCCGTACAATAGAAAATAAAAAAATTTCTTTCTATTCAATTGTTTTTTACTTCGTTGTTTCTGTCGTCGCATTAACAGCTATCGGAATACTCGATATTATGCGTGTTTCTATGAGTCATTGAATTTAAGAATTTATCGACTTTTCTGATGAAAAATTGTCATTCGAAAGGAATTTGGTACAGATAGGAATCTTATTCTTACGCCAAGAATGTATGAGTTATTGTAAAATGTGTAACGACAAAGTTCATTTGTGAGTTGAAAAAGAAAAGACATTGAACGTATACGCGCAGACAATCGGGAATGTAGCAGCAAATTTTTTGAAAAAAGGTGGAAACGGAGTTGAAAGATGGTCGTGTGATGAAAGTAGGTAGAAGCCTACGTAGATTCGACAATTCGAAAAATAATAATATCTTTCGAATATGAACGCGTGAACCAACCTCGTGAACCGCGTGAGCCACCGCCTACGCGCTTCGTGGATGTATAAGTATTATACTTGGTACGTAGGTTGCACCGATTACGTGCTTCGCGTCTCCTATCCTCTGAAATATTTCTATATATGACATAGGTCGGTTTCTTTTTGACATCATATTATAGTAGCTTTTAGACTACAATATATAAATTAAATAAATTATCTTGCCAGAATAATTTAATAATATTGCATTTTCGTGAGGTTCGAAGCATCAAGTTCTACTTATATGATATCGAATTATATTCTATCCAGATCGGTTAAATAGTAACGATTAAAAGAACAGGTTATAAATTATTAAAGAAATTTATTTTTGAATATTTATGAAATGTGAAAAACGAGGAAAGAAACTCGTCGAATCTTGTATACATTTGTATAACTTTACAGATGCACGATCGAGAAAATTCTTCTCGTAAGGGGAAAAGAACAAGTTTGGAAGAAACATACCGGTTCGTAACCGATTACCCCTTGAACGCATGTGACAAGTGAATCGTAAACTTGTCGACTAAGCTGAGTAATAAACGTGAACAAACAGGAAGTTGTTTTACGAGTCATGAGAAGATAGGAAGGACGAGAAATCCTTTGTTTCTTTCCTTTACGTTCAATGACTAAAGAACAACGAAAATAAAGAGAGGTCCAATAGGAAATACGAATCGTTGAAAAGATAAACATAACAGAATCGAATAATAGTTTAAGAGGGGAGAAGAAAGGCAAAGATTGTTGAAAAAGTTGAAAAAGAATAACATTAAATGAGGTAATGAAAATGACAATAGTAGGTATTATGTCAGAAAAGCTTAACAAGTAGGCAAAAAGAAGAGAAAATAAGATGAAGTAAGGAGAAAATGGAAAATAAAAAAGGACCATGAGAAAAAGAAAAGAGAAGGTAAAGAGGATCCAAATAACGAGTATACCTTGAAACTCGATATTTGTATCTAGTGGAAAAGAGCACAGGGAAAGAAGAGATCTAGAAGAACAGAATAGTATATAAACTGGAGTGGAGTGGAGTAGAGTAAGAGCAGTGTGGAGGAAAGTAGAGTAGTGCGGAATGGAATGAAATGAATTAGAATGGAGTAGAGTAGAGTAGAGTAGATTGGGATGGTATGAAGTAGAGTGGAGTGGAATAAAGTGAGGTGGAGTGGGGTAAAGTAGTATGGAATGGAGCGGAGTGGAGCAGTGTAGAATGGAACGATGTAGAGTAAAGTGGAGTGAGGTGGAGTGAGATGAAGCGGAGTGAAATGGAGTTGTATGGTGTGGTATGGTGTGGTATGGAGTGGAGTGGAGTGGAGTGGAGCGGAGTGGAGTGGAGTGGAGTGGAGTGGAGTGGAGTGGAGCGGAGCGGAGCGGAGTGGAGCGGAGCGGAGTGGAGTGGAGTGGAGTGGAGTGGAGTGGAGAGGAGTGGAGTGGAGTGGAGTGGATTGGAGTGGATTGGAGTGAAATGGAGTTGTGTGGTATGGTATGGAGTGGAGTGGAGTGGATTGGAGTGAAATAGAGTTGTGTGGTGTGGTATGGAATGGAGTGGAGTGGAAAAAGAAGAGCAGAGAAGGGAGACTCATTCATGTTTTGTCTCTAGTTGTTAGAAGTTCAGTCAAACGAATAGTATAGGATCGCGCAGCACGAATGTTGCAAGCCGTTTAACCTCGGACTAAATCGAATCGCGTTGCAAAACAAATCGTAAGACGTAGAACGTAGGACTTATGATAAAGAAGATAGAACGTCGCAAATGCAAGGACACGAGAAACGAGTGTGAGGTATATCGCGAATAGGTATAGCGAATTGCGAGTAGAACGTGACTGTTTTGGAAAGCGTGCAACGTCAGCGACGTTGCTGCTCACTACTGGTGAATGTGTTTTCTCATCGGGCGTGATAACACTAAGAACTGGAAAATTCAGTTTTATGTTCCAAAGAACGATTCAGATTTTATGCTTGGTTATATCTGTTGGGTGGGCAATCACGTCGTAACGGTTGCCAAATGTTGCGAATCTGACAAAGTGATATTTATTCTTTGATCGGATAACTGATCTTCAACGGAACGTAACGTACGATTTCATTTCAAATCGACTGTTATATTTAATACTGATAGGATAAAATAACGAATTTGTTTTGTGTGAAGAATGATTCCTAATATCTTTGTATTTTCTATTTCCGACTGTCTCAAATCTCGGTGAAAAATTCCATATTTTCAGTATCCTTAGATTTATTGGAACGATATATAAAGAACAGGGGTTGAATGATTATTTGACACAACGTATGCATCCACTGACGATGGTCAAGAAATGCTTTCGGTAAATCGTGATAAATTCGTAGCTCGTGGTATATGAATGCGTATACGGGCGTGCCCTTTTCTACGTCCGAATGTGTCGCATTATTAACGCTGTTACTTTAATTTCTCATTTTCAATCAAATTCGATAACTGACAACCATTGTTTGTTCCGTAATCTGGGCATTCGTTCGATGATCGGTGATCGTCTCGAAGGAAGGAAGGAAGGAAGGAAGGAAGGAAGGAAGGAAGGAAGGAAGGAAGGAAGGAAGGAATTAAGGAAGGAAGAAAGGAAGGAAGGGGAAAGGAAGAAAGAAAAGGATAGAAGAAAGGAAGAAAGAAAAGGATAGAAGAAAGGAAGAAAGAAAAGGAAGAAGAAAGGAAGGACAGAAGAAAGGAAGAAAGGAAGAAAGAAAGAACGAAAAGGCACGAAGGATCGCGTGCGCGCGAAAGGATGGCCGATTTGATCTGTTTCTTGCTAGCAATGTTCGGGCAATTGCTCGTTCGTGAAAGCAAGGGTAGTTTTCTTGGCGTAGAACTCGATGAAACCGATCAAAAATTTCTCAATGAATATTTGTCTCTCGATGATGACAAGTATCTCGCAGAGTTACAAGAGTTCGAAGATACAGCGATTGAGCTTGATTTAATCGATCAAAAAAGGAAACATCGGCCGATACATCAACCAGCCAGGGTGCTCTACCAAATTGGGGTAAGTTGTTGTTGTTTGAAATCACGAGTTATAAGAGTCTGTGTACGTTTCAAAAGAAATAAATTTTTCGCTTAGTTTGCAATTGGTTTTATCATGTTTCTCTGTTACAAATTAACTGTCAAACATGTTATAGTAGCGAATCACGTAATCGTTTAGTCATTAGTTTAACTTGACAATCAAGTTTTGTAACGAATAATTTTATCCATAGGTTCGATCTGAAAGAAACATTTTAATTTTTCAAGATTGTTCAATAACGACAGAAATTTCGTACTTTGTATTCAATTTGGACAAAATTATAGGCCGTTATAGGCGATAACATAAATTGCTATAGTGACATTTTTCTTTGCGTTTCTCGGCATCAATGGGTTAATACTTTTCCAAGAAAATTTCACGAAACAAGCGAGGTTGAACACTTTAACGGAAAAATACCTATATGTTATTTCTCGCTACACTCTTTGCACTATTGAACGCAAACAATGATTTAAAGCCACAGCTTTGCGTGGTCGGTTGAAAAATAATATTTTTATGGTATTCTTCTCATTGTCAGTGATCCTTATCGTTTGTAGACATCTGTACAAGCAAATTTTATTAACTTGTAATTCATTGTGAAAGTATCTCTCCCACTAATCTGTTATATCAAATTCGGAAAGTGAGTAGTAAGTGGAACACTTCGGAAATTCCGAGAAAGTATATACTACTAATGGCGACACGAATTTTCGTGTTACTTAAAAATACTGAATAGCTAAACAAAGTGGTATAAGAATGATGGGAAATGTTATGAAAACGGTAGGTGCGTAAGAATGCGTTCAATTTGTGTTCTTCTATAACCAGAATGCAGGCACACATCTTCAATTGATCGTTACGCGTATTCTTTGAATCATCTGTCGTAACATGTGTACGCGGACATACATGCACAGATGCACACGTGTGTACTCACAGTTATTATACGTCTATATAGCTCGAGAACCAGGTGTCATTTTCACTGCGGCTATGAGAGAAGCGAGAGACGCGTGAGAACTTCCGGATGGAACGCGTAGCCTTTCCGGTCTGCCTATTATCCCATTTTAGTTTGCAGCCACTGAAGGTTTTAATACGTACGATCTTCTGGGAACGTTGAGACGAAAAGGTAAAGTGGGGATAGAAGGAAGAGAAGGGAATATAGGAGAACGGAAGGGACCCAGCAACGAGAAAGTATAGAGAGTGGGAAAAGTGGCCGATCAGATTATAATATGTCGGATGGCCGATATATTATTATACTGACGAGTGATCGATATATTGAGATCTCTTCTCTTATCTATCAATCGTAAATATCAACTTTTATACGAATCGCAATGAGATCGAATAAATGATATTTCAGGTAGGTTAAAGATCTAAGAGGTCTATTACCAAAATTGACATCTCTTACAATTCGACTGCTTCTCGGTTGATACAGTCGTTGTTGGAATGGAAAGAGACGACAGTTTGTATTCCTTTTCATCGTTTTTCGTTATTCTCGGTTCTTCGATATTTGACTTTACGTTTTTAAGCATAATGGCTAAAGAAAGAGGAAGAAGGGGAGGATCTTGGCGGGGGGAAGCACAAGCGTAGACTGGCAAAAGACTAAGAAAGGGTATTTGAGAAGTTTAGCTTAGGTGCTCGAGCAGCACGTAGATTGCAAACGACGAGTCGACAGGACGTACATGATTGCCTCATTCAGCGGATTGACCGACGCCGTTTGAATAGTGTAGTTAGACCAGATGTCTATTTTTCAACAGAGAGAGGAGACACGTACCTCTTGAGTATGTTACACAGAACTTCCTTTGCTCGCTTGTTTTCTTTCTCTTTCGCTCACTCTTTTCTCACTCGATACGATCTCGCAGGCTTTTCTTCATCCATGGTTAATTAAAGCAATTGCTCAGACGCAAGATCGAATTAATTAGTTTTGTCGATATTTCGATTAATTTGCGTGTAACGCAACAGAGGGGCACGTTAAAATGTATGCAAGATCGATTTAATTACCTTACGAAACGAGACATTTGTGCTTGTCGCGTCATTTCTCTTTATCTTGCCGGCTACAGCGATCGAATAATGTATCTTATTTGATACGCGTGTAATACGTAGACGCTGAAGTAGGGGATCAAACTTTAAATAGTATTTTCTTTAACAGTTTGCGCAAATCTGTTTATGGACGTCTGTTACACGGAAAGAAAGCAATTTTGATCTTGGAATTAGTATTTCAAGCAATTCGAAAGATTATGCATGTGCATGTACGTGCGTGCGTGCGTGCGTGCGTGCGTGCGTGGGTAGATGGGTGGGTGCGTGCATGCGGGCACCCGGTAATTATCGAGTAACACAAATTTCTGATCTTCTTAATATTTTACGGCTGAACCGGGGTGTAATTAAGACGTATGTGTGTCAAAAGAGATAATGAGGCTAACAGAATAACTCGCAAGAAAAGGAGTATCTAAATATTTTTGTCGAATATGGAAATAGAAGAAAATTTGGATGAATAATAAATTATACCGTTTAATCATAAATGATAAAGTCAGAGTTTTTTTGAGCTGATCTTCGAGTTTATTTCGAACGCATCGCTGGTCTTTTTAGATGGTACGATCGAAACGAGTTCAACGATATACGACCACGCGAGTTTCTATGGTAATATGAAATATATCGAATTAAATATCGGAGATGATGATTTCTGATGCGTCAAGTTACATTTATACGTCTCGTGATTTCGGTCGAGTTTCTATGGTAATATGAAATATATCGAATTAAATATCGGAGATGATGATTTCTGATGCGTTCAAGTTATCTTTTTCGCGACTTCCGATCTATGAATCGACACCGATTGACGATTAAAATGAAACTTAAAAAGGGTATAAACTATAGAACGATAAAGAATAATTGTGGAAAAGTATTGCAAGTGGTGAGCGCTCGATGTTACGCTTGTTTCTCCAATCCTTTATCCGTATATGTTGCGTTTCCTTGTAAAGCGGGGTCAAGCTGAGAACGGTACGCAGCAACTATGATCCGCTATCGATCGTGTTGTTGCTTTTATTAGTCTTCATTTCAAGGGACTAACGGATCTCGCTGTTGTTTCTCGTTCCTTAGTCGACCAACTCCTATGGCTCGAAGACTAAATTCGTCAAAATCAATTTCTAGAAAGGACAGTATGAAATTTCGAGTTTCACTATTTCAGTGCAAATTAATATAAACTACTCGTTATTTACACTTGATATAACATCACGACGAACATGCAGCAAATGCTGTATTTGTTCGAGGTAGAAAACAAAATGGAAGGATAAGTCGAAATGGCGAAAAAGGAACGTTACTCTCCGAGGTATCTTCCGGAGTGACAGGTTGGGTTCACGATCGAAAACGAATTAAAAGAACTGTATAACTTTTCGCTAAACAAGGAAAGACGCGTAATTGGAATGACTAGTACGACAGATGAACCGTTCACGAGCTAAAGTGATTGACTTGGCATTTAGAATTCCTTTCTATATTTCAAATAAATATCTGTTTTTTTGTTTCGCAGAGTTAATCAATTTAGCAAACGAGCGATCCATCCACGGATACATAGAGGTGGAAAGGAGTGCGATAGCGTGGAGATATGACAAAGGTTTATGAATTTTTCAGGAAAGCGAAGACGAGCTGCCAGAATGTTCAGACCGAAGTGAAGTTTGCAGCAAAGTGGATTTATATGGATCACCTTGGGTCGAAAGACAATGTCGTTGCCCGGATGGACGTACTTGCCCTAGTAGTTTACACGAAGACGATGGACACACGATAGTGGATAAAACACGGCAGTACAAGCTTTGCGAGCCAGTGAAACGTCTTCCCATCTGTCGTTACTTCAAGTTAGTCGCGATCGTCCGTCTAATCGAGAGTATACATCAAGTAGCGGAACGATCAAACGTACCGATTCGCGAATGCTTTACGCGTCCACTACAGCTATACACACGTGTCACGTACAAGATGGCCGTTTGCTGTTTACAGAGACGTCACATGGACTCTAGCTCCTGGAGGGGGCCCAGCGAACGCGACGGTTCAGCGAGTTTATTGTCGATGTCGGCCGGGCAGCGTACCTTATCTAGTTCGAAGGCAAGCTTACAAGTCTTCCGAGGGAAGCCCAGGATTTATTTATGCATTCGCGTGCTCTCCGCAAAGCGTAAGTTTCCTCGTTCGTCTCTGTGTACGCGTTCGCATTCCTGTTCCCGTTCCCGTTCCCGTTCTCGTTCCCTGTTCCAGTTCGCGGTTGATATACCCTAGGCATGCTTCGATCTTTCCTAACATTTGCTTCTGCTTTCGAAAAGATATGCCGAGCAGCTGGCTGAGAAGGTGAAAGGCGAGCGAGGCGCAATCGTTACAAAGGAAATTGATATTTCAGAGACTACGTTGTCAACACAAGGAACCTTGTCGGCTGTTCACCGTGAGAAAGAGACGGAGCTCGCAGCTCGAAGAAGTAAACGCGTCGCCTCTTTGTCAGTGTCCAAAAGGTCAAAGATGTCCAAGGAGGCACACCGATCCAGGTTCCCTTCCAGCGAGATCTTATTCCGGCGTTTTGGAAATCAAGACGTACAGCGGATATTGCGTACCCTCGCAGTCGCATCATTCCGAGGCGGTTTATAACGTTTGAATTTAAACGGTGGATTTGAAATGTGCCGCACTAGCTAGCGTATGCAATCGCTCGAATAACGAAAGAAGCCAAACATCCACATGTGATATTCGGACAGATTCTATGTGCACGGTTTGATTCTGACACTGTTAGAGCACGTCCTCCAGTGAACAGGAACAAAAATATGAAAATCGATTAATACCGAAGATATTTGCTTCGAAAGATCGATAAAACTGGATAATAGTACCAGTGGAATCTCGAGTGATTCCTGTTCATTTAGAATTGTAAATGTAAGTTTACCGTCCAGTCATAGAAACCTATGAACCTCGTTGAAACACGCTATAGCACGTTATTCCATCGACCAACATCGAAATATAACACCGTGTCGAGGAAATTTCAATTTATTTCTTTTTTAATTAGTTGAACGTATTTGGACGTTGGATATTGTTATTCGGTCTCGATAGGAAATACTTGTTATGTATATTTGTATCGTGTTGTATAGGATGTCGTATAATAATTATATATTTAAACTGAACGCGTTACTTATAACATCCCTACCTATTGACACTTTCGATAATGATGTTATCTGTGAATTATATTTGATATTATTTTATTACTACGTATCAACGTAATATCGTTTTTGTAAATAATTAATTCTTAATAAAGTGAAATAAAGAAATTTCATTGTGACCGACATCAACCCTGTCATCGCCAATGCCACCACCATCATTATCATCGATACATATCTTGTTCGTCGATGTAATAATTTCACGGGATAAAAGCATTAATAAATTTTGTTATCTCTACCAGTGTTACAATTACTATCGAAATCAATTTCTCCATTGTTCTTGCATACGTTAGCAATGGTAATTAGTAATGGTTATTGTTCATTTCATTCTATATTTTACTGAACGCAAAGACTATATAATTGAATCATAAATTTTCAATTTTTCCCGCGATTTAAAGAGTTGTAAAGCTAAAATAGATCAATAGTCAAAATGAATTATGTTCTTGAATTCGAATTGAAGAAAAACGAAAAAAAAAAAGAAGGAAAACAAAGAAAGAGAGAAAGAAATTTTTTCCCATTTCTGTAAAGATATTTAAATTTTCTAACGCCGATGAATTAGATATTTCGTATTAAGTGTTGAACTAGTTCCAACGTGTAACGCTAGATGGCGAAAGTTTGAAAGTTCAGTAATAACGGTTTCTGCATCCATCATCAGGAGAATCTCTACAAACAATAACCATTTTGATAGTCCGTGAACTGAAAAATCATTGGAGAAGAAATCTTTTCGAAATTATAAGTTTTTCGGATTTAAGTCATCATGAACTAATTGCGAAATAGTTTGTTATTAAAGCTACGAGTTAGTAATGCATGGGTATATAACTTTGTATTAAATATCGTTATTGTGGTCTAATAAATAATAATAATATATATAATATAGTATAATAATAATATGAAAAGTAAATAAGAAGCAAAACTAACGAATGGAATAAGCAGGTATATTATAATAAATAGGTTTGTTAAACGATCGTGAAATGAATATATCGTTGAGTAGGTACAGAATCGGAAGAAAACGTGATATAGTTGACATAAAAACGCGATGGGAAAGGAGGACAAACGAAAGGAGTAATTAAAATGATAAACAGCGGGAAATATCAAAATGTTAGAATTTGAGAAAAAACGGTTATCGATATGATTCGATTATCGTGATCGATTTGGTGAAACTGTAATACAAAGGAGGAAACGGTAGTTGAAATTACCTCGGTGTGCTTAGTTTAACCTGCAAACATGTTCGATGTATGTACCGATATATTCCGATGTGTTCGGTGACTGCAGCATAATAGACGAGCTTAATTAGAGTGGTGACGTACGATCCACGATACACGTGTATATCGAATAGATTGCTGCATGAGATAGACTGGTTGAATTTCTTGATCAAAAAAGGACGCGCGTTTCAAGCTTCGGAGATGTAGGGCTAAGAGTTTCTATGCAAGAAAACAAGATCACGGCACACACTACGAATCTATCGTTCAATGATCTGGTTCGAACGATGCACCGGTAAAGTTAGCCGGCAACTAGTTTGCCAATGAGAACCAGAATGATTTCATGCTCGATATATTTTTCTGGTATTCGATCGAACGCGTGAAAAGTAGCGGTACCGCTGTTATCGATGCTCCGATTTGTTTTCGTTTTCGTTTTATCTTTTTTCTCTTTTGTTCTTCTTCGTTTGCGAGTAACGATCGCGAACGCGCACGCGCGGTCACCTTTGTCCACGGATAATATTTTATCGGCCACAGCACGCTTTGCAAATTTTGATAAATTTAAGGTAATGTTGATTTGTTGAGTCGATACGACTATCGGACGATTGAATCTTTCTGGAACGATAAAAAACACGGGGCTAAGGTATGAATGATGAAACCTATTGAAACCTAAACGATGAAGCGATGAAACCTATTAAGGGAATAAATATATTCTTTCTTTTTTTTTTTTTTTTTTTTTTTTTTTTTTTTTTTTAATTTGCTTACATGATTCGTACGTACTTAATATTACAAGCTTAATCAACGAGCGGATACGAACGTAGTGTTTTTCGAAGAGAATATAAAAGGAGAAAACCGAACGAACTCTGAGCACGAAATATCCGGATAAATGGTAATGATATATTATTGTCGAAGAGCTCTATTAGTCGTTACGAATTTCTTCAAATCCGTTTCCTACCATTAAACATCAGTATCTCTCAGTCAACGGATGAATCAGTTCTTGCGTGAGAGGTATACTGCAATATATTTTCTATAGGAGATGTACAACGTACGATTACGATTAGTAGAGTATTAATTAAAGACTTGGAAGGAAGGTATTTCTTGGTATGGTACGAGAGATGAAACGAAGCGAAAGAAAGATAGGAGAAATAATAGGAAAGGGAAGGAAAGGGAAGGAAAGGAAATATCGAGGTAGAAGAAGGAAAAGCGACAAAAGAATTTCCTCTTCTGCGACCATATTACAGATCATATTAAGTTCTTTTAACGTTTCGATATATTCGTTTGTTACGATCAGGCATCTTCAGTTATCGCAAAGAAAAAAGAAAAAGAAAAAAAAAAAAGAAAAAAAGGGAGAAAAAAGAAAAAAAAAGAAAAAGAAAAGAAAAAAAAGAAAACAAAACGGAAAGAGTCGGATTTCTTTTACTAATAATTCGCGATACTCGCTTATCAGTTTTCGCTTCTGGTGGCACTCGCGACTCTTGGTCTCTCTATTCGCGAGGATTAGAACGGTGTACTAGTATATCCAGAGTATCCAGTCGCTAGTGGATAAGTAGATGTGTTGATGGAGGAGCAAAGGAAGGTAGTGGATTGGCGGAGATGCAGCTTAGGATTCCACGCATAGTCGAGGGGTCTCTGGTTGGTTGGTAAGTGGGACTAGCCGGGACTCATAGGCAGCATGTCTCCTACGAGGCTCGCAGTCCCATTCGGAACTCTGAAACGCGTCTAAGCGTGGCGTTCGTTTACTTCTTGGAACAAGTTCTGTCGCTCGTGCATTCTTCCTTACCTTGAAATTCGATGGAACGAACGATGATGGGGAAAAAGTTGAACAACTTCGTGGCTTGAATCGCTCGAAACTCCGTTGGAGCGAGTATCGAGCGCGTTCGATCTCGTGAGATTTTATCATCGGTACGTCGAATCGAGTATCGATACTCGATCGAGATCTATTTCTCGTTTCTTCGTCGCGATCCGATCGCGAAATATAGCATTTCTCGCAGTATTTTTAAATTTTTCTCACGGAGAGAGATCATCCTGCTGCTCGTACAACTACAGTCCGGAAAACGCTGTTATAACGGATCACGCTGCGAGGAATCGAAACTCCAAGGCTAGATCGAGGTTGGGCTGGGGGTCGGGGTCAAAGTCGAGACCCAGATCAAGATCAAGATCGAAATCGAGGTCGTGCTTGGATGTCGAGGGTGAGTTCAGGGACTATTTATCCCTGACATTTTCTCATCTTCAAGCTGTGCTTATATTAGCAATCACCTATCGTTGCGCGATCACCTATCATTGTACATATATTTCCTTCGATGTTTACGTATTAGCTACTTTCTCCATTGATTAACAATCATCGCAACGAGCATGATCGTTTATCGTAGATGAAAATATTTCGTTCACTCGTAAGTTGAGAAAAAGTAAAACGAATGCGACACAAGATGAAAAATTATTAAAATTTCGATAGACGAAACTGCGTATTGGAGAAGTCGAAAGTAACCTCTTTCGAATCAAGACCATGAGAACTGTGCGTTCTCACGAATATTTCATTTCTATCGCGCGTAATTAACATTAAAAATATTTTGTGGAGGTGAACGTAAATACACACGCGAGAAGAGAGAGTGAGACATTTATCGTGGATAAAGTTGACGAAACTTTTCGTATATATCGACACAGTCCGTACTTTACTTCTCGTACGCGAAAGATAGGGATTGAATGTGCGACTAATATCGAACGTTTTCACGTTTGCACACCCGTGCATTTTCCATCTTTCTGTTACATTTTTACCACATCGACTTTACAATCGAAAAATTTCAATTACTGCAAATATCAATACGGAATGATATTGACATTTTCCCCTTGAGTACTTCTTTGCACTTTCTTCTTTAAAAATCAGTCTGTTAAAAAGTATCGTTAACTTTCTGTTACCGAATATCGATAGAATACGGATTTTAAAACGATTAAGGTGTTAAGTGAGCAATTAGCTATTTTATCATACGGATTAATACAAACCGTACAGGTATATGCTCTATGCGATATAGGCGTGTACGTGGTTATCGGTCGAATAGGATAGATAGGTCTTCGTAATTCTATTAAAGAAATAGATGTTGCAACGAGTGTACGATTCGCGATATAAGCAAAGCTTTTTAACGAACGTGTATTCTCTTTCATTGAACAGAGTTCTCGAATTTGGGTCGCAATGCAGGTTATGGTGTCTCGGGATAGTAGGAGGAAAAATCACTGTCGCAAAGCAGGAAATGGTAGTTACGAGTAGTATTCGTTTTGGAACGGGTTTAGAAGAAATTGAAAATCGTGACAGAAGATCAAGCACAAATGAGCTTTCTGGGTGTCGCAGTGGATTTGTATATGTATATATGTATATATGCATTTTATGTAAGATATGCATTTTATACATGCATATTAGTCGCCCGAGTGGATCTTAGTGGTTGCTGCATGGTGTGGCCTTGAACATGCAAAGAAAGATAACGGCTTGCGAGAAACGTAACAGGTTAACCTAATTTCACCACATCCGCGTGGTGAATTGTATCGTGCTATAATTACCACGACACTTCGTATGCGTCTTGTCTCTTAGCGAGAATGCAATAGGTAATCATAGGAGTGATTATTCTCACCTACTTGCGAGCATATTCTTACGCGAGCGTATTTTCTTTGTCGTGTCAATTTTATCGCGAACAATAAACGATACGAACGATTTGCAAGTAACATTAATATATCGATACTCGAAGCTTCGAAAAGCCGATAATTTTTAAAATTAGCTCGAGGGAGAGAGAAAATCGAGATAAAGTTGAACGGTGGAAAAAAGAAAGGGGGCGAAGGTTCGAAACGGAATGGCATAGAAGGAAGGAAGAAACACGGGACCTTATATGCCACGTCGTTTGAACGCATGTTCAAATTTCGCGATTCAATCGAACGTTGAAGAAATCACCGTTCGGCTCTCTCTCTCCTCCTCCCTCTCTGTCACTCTCTGGTGCGTAGTGAAAAAAAAAAATAGCGATACCGTTAAGGGAGCTTGAACTCTCCCTCTGTATTCGTTGTTTCCCTTCTTCTTCTTCTTATATCACTTTCCTCCCTCCTTTTATACTCTTTCTAGCACGGTTTGCTCTTCTCGCCCAAGGAGACGAGATGGTATTCTCGCTATACCGTGAAAGCTAGGAAGGAAGCGTGAGAAACGAGAATATCTGGAACAAGATTCCATGCGATCGCTCATTTCGTCCTTTTTTTTTTCTAAATCTACATCTTCTTCGCGCTTTCATTGACGTCTACCGTAACGATGCAATGCAAACACGAATGTAGAACTGGACGATTAAAGGCGAATGCGAAGGTGAACGCGAACGTGAATATTAATTAACGTTGTAACCGAGAAGAAGAACGAGCGGGTAAATTTCGCGTAACAAACCGATTAGATCGACACGGCCATTTAAGCGATCGAATGTGCGTACGCGCATGATTTACAACGAAATGACGATAGAAATAAGAGACGTGAAATCGGTTTGCGTATTATTCGCTTTTTATCATTACTATTTTATTTTCAGGAGGTACAAGCTCGCTGGACATTTGAAGAATATCGCGAAAGAGCAACTCTTTCTTTGATCTTTCTATCGATTAGAGATACGGGACGAGATGAAGTCGATTCGAGGAGCAGTATGGCTGGTCCCACTGGCAGTTGGATGTATGGCTTTGTCACCACAATTGCCAATTAATTCGAAAAGTAGCGACAGAATGAAGCAAACCAAAGCCCCGTTATATATGAATAAGAACGAGTCGAACAATTCGGTAATTACATCGAACAGCAGTAGTAGCGGCGTGGATGAGAACAGCATCGGCCCCACTACTGTTAACATCGATAGCAGGATTAGCGGGAACAACGGTAGTAAGGATGTCGATGGCATTGTATCGAAACCGCTTTCTCTCGGAATTTCTGCCACGATCGACAACGATGCGATCACCATGCTGCCATCCTCATCGCCAACGGTAACGACATCCACGTTGACATCGACACCGACATCGACATCCGTGTTAACATCGACATCCTCGTCGACAAATCATAATTCTGCCGCGAGCACCATCGAGTTATCTTCCACGAGCGCGTCATCGTCAACTTGGTCGATCGCGGATACTAAAACGGAATTAGGACCACCGGTGACGTACAATCGCGGCACGACTACCACCGCGAGAACGACGACGAAGACGTCTGCGTCGACCATAACGATAAATTCGAGTATCGTTAATACGAGCTTAAGCGCGTCTCCTACGGAAGCCTCTTCGAGAACGATCGCTTCCAATCGGGATGCTAGTACTTTCCTATCATCCTCGAAGAAACTAACCACGGGTTTCAACGAATTTACCACTACTCCTGCTTCCACTTCGTCGAAAGAGACGCGAGAATCACCTGGAAAAATTCGCCCTCAAATCAAATTGACAACCAACTACACCAGCCTGAGCGAGGTGAGTAAATGATCTTTTCATTTCTCCTATTCTTCTTATTTCTCTCCCTATTTTCATCGCGATCTACGTTCCTTCGCATGAATCTGTTTGTTTCGACTTGATCGATACAGCCATGAAAACGATCGCGTTCGCGAATAGGAAAGAAAACCACGGTAAAATAAAATAAAGGCAACGTCTTGCATTTAAATCCTATGGTATTCCTTTTTGGTAATACGGTAATTTTACGGTAATTTTACGGTAATTTTACGGTAATTTTACAGTGATACCCTAGATAAAATATATCTGTTTTCCTTTTAAGTCTGACTTTCCATCGACAACGATATCACGCAAGTAAAAATAGTCATAAATCTTTCCTTTTTCTCATTTTATCAAGGTTATTAAATGAAACTAACGAAACAGACGATGTTTCGCAGACGGTTGTATTCGCATACCTTTCAACGAACAATGAATTAGACGGAAATAAATTTAAGATTTATGTTCAGAGATACGATCGTTGAAAGAAAGATGTCAGCGAGAATTAATCTATACCGAGCAAACATGGTATCTTATTTTATTACCTATAAAAGTTACCAATATTATTTTCGTTGATCTATTTTTCCGAGTTATTCCTTTTTTCTATAAATAATATTGTTCAAAGAGAAAAGAAACGAACGAATGGTTAAATTTTTTCGAAATATCACGGAAATGATAAACTCGGAGTAGATTAAATTATTAAATTCTACGCGTTGTCCCTAAAACTCAACCATCCTACTTTGACTCTTAGCTGACCCATGCACGCATTATCCACGCATAATTTCTTCCTCTTCATCTTTTTCTCCCGTTCTTTGCACACGCTCGTTTACGCGATTTACTCATTCGGACAATCCGAAGAAAGTATGCGAGGATTGTCAGGAAACGTTCCGTTACATCCGCCCGAAACCTAAATCCGTATAAACTCGAGTATTTGGTCCAAATTGTCTTTTTCTCACGTTTTCATCTCTCTGGATCAAGTATCTTCCATTCGTTGCTCTGTTCGAAACACTCGAGAAATTCTATTACTCGTAAAATACCAAGTTTCTAAGCGATATGAACATTCACGTTGGTTACCTCAAAGAATCAAACGATTCGATTCGGAGAGTGACCGAATCATCGCGGATCGGAGAAGAAGCGAAAAGAGAAAAAGAATTAGGAAAGAAAAAAAAAAAAAAAAAGGTTCGATGAATGGTCAAATGAGATAATTTCCGACGAATGTACGAGTAACGTGCAGACTTTATCCACGAAACGGTCTTTAACACTAGGTTTACGGACGCTATTTGTATACCTATTTCTACATATATGACACCTGTCAAATTGACAGGTAAAAGCAACCACGTGTCTTTTTTTTAACGATTAGTCTAATTTAACAACAATTGCAATATTAACAATCTTAATATAAGTTAACTAAATCTGTTACCATCGTATAATTAGAGCAACCCATCCATCAAATTGACGGGTTCCGTAAATCTAGTGTTAAACACAGATGTCGATTATATTCGCAGTACGTTAAATCAACACGTATCCAATCGTTATTTCATTAATACGCATTGTAATATTATCGATTTGTACGGCTATACTTTTAGCGCGATACCTATTTGACTTGCCAAATAAAAGTATAAACCAAAGGGTTAAAGTTGAATATTAACTTGCATTACAGTTACATACTACGGTGTATCGGATTTCACGTGCTTGAGAATAGAAAGACAGTTAAAAGAGTTCTAACGTTATTTATTTCAGATAATCTCCTCTTTTCTTCTTTTTCTTCAGCGATACGAAGAATGGTAACCTGGTAATTTTCTATATTAAATTCGAACGATTCGGGTATAATTTACTTGGTAATTATAGATATCATCGAGTTTCTCATACCCTATCGATTTTTCTTTTTCTTTTCTTCTTTCTAAGAAAAAATTAGTTAATTCTAGATAGAACGATCGAGCCACACGGAGAACCGATAGATATAAAAAATAGGATTATTTGTTACGGAAAACTCGGGCGGGTGATCTTATTTCGTTTATGTGTGTTTCGAGAGGGAAGATTAGGCACGCGGAGCGTTTCACGTGTAAAGTATAACTGTTTAAGCTATAACTATGTTTAACTATACCATAAGTACCGTAAGTACACGGCAATAAAGCGGTGAAGAATCACAGGTCAAAAATGTGTTGCAACTAAATCGTATATGCACACGCTTTTATTTGACACAAATAAATCGTTTTTACCCTAGCAATGAGCAGGATCTCTTTCTTTCCCTGGACGATTTAATTTCCTTTCATAACTTTACGACGATTACCAAAAAACGCACAGGTCTTTCTTTAGCCATTTCTTCGCGTAGTATTCGTTTAATTCTTCAGTCGAGACGTTCGAGATTTATATGTCATCGTATCACCGTTAACTAGAATTTTGTTTTCCTATGATATTTTTCTTTTATATCGTTACTTAATTAACATTCGCATGTTAACTTTGAATCATTTCGTGCCGATTTCGAAGAAATTTTTTTATTCCTTCGTAACCCGTTTTGCTCTTCTGCCACTAGTTCATCCTCTTTTATCTTCGCTCATTCATATATATCCGGTAATTATTTTAATAGGGATCGTATTGCGTGTTTTACTCGGAAAATGATCACCTATGAAACCCGTATGCGACCCATGAATTCCAATTACTGATATCTAGCAAGTCCCATTGGAAGATCGTATCGGATCGTATCGGATCGTATCGGATTGTATCGAATCGAATGTGAAACGGTTGTGTGTACGGTGCATCGTAAGAATTGTACTTTACGTAGGCAATTAATAATTATTTATGGTTGGTTTCAAGTCATAAATACGAAGGAAATAGCAAGAAAATGCAGCTGATGCGGAATTCCGGGTACCGAAGATATATCAATGCCAAAACGTGCTTATCGTTTGTGACATCGTATTCCGATTTAGGTAGCTAAACGTTCGATACGTTCATCTTCTTACGGCAACATCCAATGTTCGTGAACGTTGGAAAAATTGCACGATCGAATGGAACATGGAAACAACGAGAAATACACGGTGTGTCGCATTATACCGTGAATCGTGAAAGGTAATGACTTTTTAAACGTTGGAAGTTATTAAAGAGAAATGTTGCTCCGGTTGCTTGAAAATGTCATTGGAACATATAAGAACAATTACCAGATACGATTACGATTAGGTAATGACTGGTGAATAATTATTGATGAATAAGCAAGCAAGAGACGAATGAAAATCCTGGGTCGATATGTATACTTAATAACTGCTTATGTACGGTGGAATGAAGAAAGTTAACTCCCTGCTCGTTAACAATTTTATTCTCCGATTGCTATTATAATAAAATAGCGGGATTTAATGAGCGAGCGAGCAGGCGAACGATTTCATTACCTTTGTATAATCGACAATCATCGTATAGGCTACAACTCGTTCGCTCGTTGGCAAAATTCGCTGTGCAACGAGCGGCGAATATAATAAGTTAACAATAAATATAGCTTATAAAGATTGAAATAATGTAACAAATAAAATAGTAATTATAAAAGGAAGGAAAACGTGAACGAAGTCGGAATTAGGAATATGAGAACGGGAACGAGAGAAGGAAGGCTTTGTCATGTAACAAAATAGCGATGATGTAAAAGTGATGGATGTAAATTGTTCGTGGTTCGTGGTTCGTGAGTCGTGAGTCGTGGGTCGACAACAGCCGTTATGTTTCAACAATTTCGAGACTCGATTAGCAATTTGCATCGATAGAAAGAGAAATCCGTTATATAGGAACGTTGTGTTAATTGAAGAAACGTTATGCACCGCGAGAAGCTCGGTTTGACAACAACCACCTGGATAAATGAAATAAACAGAATTGTTACCGATGCATCGACCCAACGAGCGAAGAAGGAATTCATAGCGAATAATGTAAACGTTACGGTCGAATCACTCGATCTCTCTATCGTCTCGTCGCTATCGAGGAATTTGAAATATGAAATCGACGCGATTGTTCGAAGCAGGAAGATCGGGTGGATTGTTGTCGTGTGTACTCGCGGATATATAGGGTGAAGAGGCAGGACAAGATTCTAAATACCCGCGTTCTTCGAGACGCGTTCAGCTTGAATATTCGAATTAAGCACCGTTCAAAGTTTTTTTTTAGGAGATTGTCACGAATCGTATTGCTCGCTTTAACATTTGAAAAGGAGGGCAAGTGTTCATGACCGTGACGTGCGAGCGGATCGGCCGATGTTAATATCGGTAGTGGAACGTGACGGTACCAAAACAAGCAGAAAAGAATGAAAAGGAGAAGAGTATGAAAGAAGAGGAGCAAGAAAAGGGTAAAGAAGGAATTGGACGACTTTACTATTCGGTTTTGTTGCGATTGCTCCACCGGTTCAACGTTATGTTCGCACAGGTTATAGGATACGTGCACGTGTATATATGTATATATCCACAGGGTAACTCTACGACCTGTCTCTGGATGACGAACGAAAGTAACCGCGATAGGGGTGGTAAAAAGGAAAAGAGTAGACACGATGCACAATGCGAGAAGAAGAGTTAAAGGAAAGAGTTAAAGAGTCAAGGCTAGAAGGAATGATTGAATTTCTTTACTTCATGGAAATCATTCCGGCGATCGATCATTCGTTCAAACGAATTCGAATGTTAATTTCATTATCCACGAGTGTACATATATGAAATATGTTTAAACGATAACTGACATATTAAATAATAATCGTACAATCGATTAGCCGATAGAATTTCTGCTCGTTAAACGTAACGATGAAAATACGAATTTAATTGCTTTAATCGTATCGTTTAATACATGGAAGGTCGATGATTAATTCTGCACAGGTAGAACGGAATTTTGTAACGGAAAGAAGAAAAAAATGTCGGTGGTTGTTGAAACGGTTCTTTGTCCGTAACGTAAAACCAATTATTCGAAGCGTTAAAAAAATTCTTAGAAGTTGGCAAATAGAAAGTGGCAGGCATCAACATCGACATCGACATCGACATCGGCATCGATTTAAAAAAATTCTTAGAAGTTGGCAAATAGAAAGTGGCAGGCATCAACATCGACATCGACATCGGCATCGACATCGGCATCGGCATCGGCATCGGCATCGGTGGTATCGGTACAGGCACTGGCTGCAGTGTGCAGTTTGTGTTATGACTGTTGCGATATTATCGTGTTATTCGTAATGGAACAGTCAAGTTTGTGGTTCACAAGAACCACTAAGAATCACGATCGTGGAGATTCACGACTCGGCAAACTCTGATTTATCCCTTGCCTCCCAGCCATTCTGTTCTTTCATTTTTCTCCCTTCCTGTTTCTTCTATTTTCTTGCTTATTCATTTCACGTTCCTGTTTCATGTTCCAAAGAAAATTCATCGCATCTTCCTCTTCCTCTTCCGCTTCGTTCCATTTTTCCATCTTCTTTCTGCTTTTGCAATTTGTTAACTGCAAGCACACGGCGCCAGACGGAGTAAAGAATAAACGAGGAAGGAAGGAAGGAAGGAAGGTAGGAGGAGAGAAGGAGAGGAGCAGAGGAGGAAAGAGACGAATAAAAATTTCGTTTATCTATCGATTTTCAGACAGGAGTACGGCTACCGGAGGGTGCGAGCGCAGCTTTAGCCAAACCGACCAAGTATCATTACTATCCACATAATCAGCATATCTACTTGCTACCAGAATGCGCGGTTCAACAGGTTTGCAATGCCGTTTACGTTAGACTAAACTTTACCCAGCCTCTGTGCGCTTGTCCAGGAAGATACCGCGACCCTTGCAGCGCCTCTCTCGACAGCGACGATCTCCACACTACGGAGCTGGTCACCGACCCTCGAACCAAGGTTAGTCGCCTTACCTTCTATCCGCTTTACTAGACCTTCTTTATTCCCGTGCTTGCCGTGTATCTTCTCTCAGCTCGATGCTTCTCCTTCTCGTTACGCTTATCGAACCTCGTTACGCTTAACGTAACGAAACGAAACGGAACGGAAGAAATCGATTCGATCCTTCGAATCATACTTTCCGCGTTCTTTCGCTTCTCGCAACTCGGCTCACTTTAAATTGAGTAATATCTTCCGAATATTCCAAACGATCGTATCGTTTGGATACGCAATGAAATACTCGCGTTTAAAAGCTCCTACACGATCCACATAATTCCACGTCGAATTTACTCTCCCGAAATTCGATGCATCTCCTTTTTTCTTTTTCTCCCTTTTTTCACTCTCTTTTTCTTCCATTAGCGTATAAAATATTTGATCATTTTATGTATCCAGTCGAAAGTCTTTTCCTTTGCTGATGGAGAAAATTTTTGACGAAAAGTAATTCGTTTTACGATGAATATGATTAAACGCGTTGATGTATCATGTATTATTTAAAGACTCAACTAACAGCGCCAGGTAGCACATTACAATCCATCTAAGCACGTCCGTATGCGCGTATGTGTATGCTAACTATGTAAGATTATAGTACGATAAAATCGCGTAAGTGTTCCACAGCGAAAGCAACTTCTCTCTCTCTCTCTCTCTCTCTCTCTCCCTGTCTCTCTCATCTCTCTTTGTTGCTTCCTTTTAATAAATACATCACACGCAAATACGTGACACGTTATGTTTATATATGCTCCAATTGGATACGATACTCGATTATCCCGTCATTTGTGCACGAGCACGGAAACAATTGACGGATAAACGAGCTATGATCTTTAAAATATGTAGATCTTAATCTCGAATGATTTACAAACTTTAAACGGAAATTTGCGGAACCTGTAAATCGCGATGACCGTTTCTTCGATTTTCGTGGAACATCTCGCGCAAAAACAAACCACGTATCTAGCTTGTCTCGTTTAAACGATTATCCGAGAGTCCGTTCTACGATCATTTTTTCCGGAGAGTAAAGTGTATCGTGATTACATTCGAATAAACCATATTACGCCGTAGAAACAACGAAAGTCAGGCATGCGAAAGAAAAAGCGACGACAGAGTGAAGGCAGACGCTTGCTAGGTTGGAGAACATAGTGAGAACGCAAGAAACGCTCGTTCACTTTCAGCCAGTGTAACGAGTTTTCAAAATAGTTAACGTTAACGTTCCATATTAACGTTTCAACGCGTTCGCTGAGCTTCGATTTTGAAGACTAGCAAAAAATAGAATCGTTCCAAGATTATTCAACGTGGTTATTTTTTCGATCTTTCAACATCCTGTTTGGTAATAGCTTGTTTGTCCGATTGCAGATTCCAGATGTATTTTATAGAAACGTTGGTGTCTAAGGGTACAAATAACACGTATACGTACCAACTTGGAACAGGCTAAAGTGCTTTACGTAGGGACGTATGAGACGTTATCTACGTTGTTTACATCTTTAAGATGTTCGATTTAAACGTAGTCAAATTAATAATGTACACGCATTCGTTGATCTAATCTGCGGTTGTTCGATTTAGGCTCTAACACTGGTGAAAACATGTGAGCCAGTGGCGGAAATGCGCGAATGCCGA